GGCTTCATAGAAAGAGCTTGGAAGTGTGCCTTCCTCTTGAATTTTTTGGAATAGTCTGAGGATAGGCTTTAGTTCTTTGGATGCTTGGTAGAACTCCCCTGTAAAGCCTTTGGACCTGGGCTTTTGTTTGCTGGAAGATTTCTGATTGCTGCTTCAATTTCTTTAGTAGTTATTGGCCTATTCAAGTTTTAGGATTCTTCTTGATTGAGTTTTGGGAGCTTGTATTTTTCTAAGAATATGTCCATTTCATCTAAGTTGTTCATTTTTTTGGTATACAGTTCTTCATAATATTTTTTCATAATGATTTGTATTTCTGTGGGATCTGTTGTTACTTCACCTCTTTCATTTCTGATTTTGATTATTTGGGTCCTCTCTCTTTGCTTTTTGGTGAGCCTGTCTAGAGGTTCATCAATCTTGTTTATCCTTTCAAAGAACTAGCTCTTGATTTTGATATTTTGTATTTTTTTTTGTCTCTATGTCATTTATCTCCGCTGTGATCTTTATTACAACCTTCATTCTGCTTATGCTTGGTTTTCCTGGTTGTTCTCTTACTAAAACTTTGATCTGTAGGGTTAGATAAATTTTACCATATATTATAGTTTTTAGACATAGGCCTGCAGAGATATGAACTTCATTTTCAAGACTGCTTTAGCTGTGCCCCATAGATTTTGGATTGTGTTTTCATAATCATTTCTTGCCAGGATCCTTTTTATTTCTTCTTTGATCTCTTTGGTAACCTGATCATTGTTTAAAAGCATGCTATTTAGCTTCCAGGTGTTTGATTTTTAAAAATATATTTTATTCTTTTTTTTTTTTTTTTTTTTTTTTTTTTTTTTTACAGAGAGGAAGGAAGAGGGATAGAGAGCTAGAAACACCGATGAGAGAGAAATATCGGCCAGCTGCCTCCTGCACACCCCCTCCTGGGGATGTGCCCACAACCAATGTACACGCCCTTGACTGGAATAGAACCTGGGACCTTTCAGTCCGCAGAACGATGCTCTGTCCATTGAGCCAAACCGGTTTTGGTGTGGTGTTTGATTTTAAAAAATTTTTTTTATTGTAGTTGATTTCTAGTTTTATTCCATTGTGATCTGAGAAGATGCTTGTTATGATTTCTATCTTTTTGAATTTGAAGAGACTTTGCATGTACCCCAATATGTGGTCTATCTTTGAAAATGACCCATGTGTACTTGAGAAGAAGTTATATTCTCTGGCTTTGGGTTGGAATGTTCTGAACATGTCAATTAATTCCATATGATCTAGTGAGTCATTTAAGATTAATGTTTCTTTGCTGAATTTTTTGTTTAGAGGATTTTGTTCTGTGGTGTTAGTGGAGTATTAAAATCCTGTACTATGACTGTATTATTGCCATTCTCTCCCTTGATATCCTCCAGAAGGTTTTTTTTTTTTTTTTTTATGTATTTCGGTGCTCCTGTATTGGATGCATATATATTTACCAGTTATATCTTCTTGTTGACTTCCTCCCTTAAGCATTATGAAGTGGCCTTCCTTTTTAAAAAAATTTATAAATCTTTATTGTTCACATTATTACGATTGTTTCTTCTTTTCACCCCATAGCTCCCCTCCACCTGGTTCCCACCCCACCCTCTGCCCTTACCCCCCTCCTCTCTGTTCTCATCCATAAGTGTATGATTTTTGTCCAGTCTCTTCCTGCACCCCCTATACCCCTTTCCCCTGATAATTATCAGTCCACTCCCTTTCTTTGTCCCTGCTTCTATTATAATCGTCACTTTATTCTGTTCATCAGATTTTCTTTCAGTCAGTGTATGTTTAATTTCTAGTTGGTCCTTTTTCATATCCTCAAGGGTCTTGCTAAATTTATTGGCCTTTTCTAGGAAATTCTTGAAAAACCTTATAACCTTGGTTTTGAACTCTATATCCAGTTGTTTGTTTTCCTCCATTTCTTTTGTTTGTGATATGTGTCTTTGTCTCCACATTTTCGCTGCTTCCCTGAGTTGGTAGGATAGCTTTGTGTGCTAAGTGTCCTATATGGTTCAGTGGGTCAGCCTCCCAGTTACCTGAGGTGGACTGTCTTGGTGTACCCCTTTGTGGACTCTGTGTGCAGCCTTGTTATAGTTAAGTCTTGATTGTTGTTGGTATCACTGGGAGGAATTGACCTCCTATGAGGATCAGCTGTGTCTATGCCAGGGGACCTTCTGTGGTGGGGACAGCCTTATGAGACCAGACTTGCAAAATTGAAAAAGCTTTTGTGCTCATCTTGAATGGGGCGGAGTTTCAGGGCTGAGCAGACAGTCTTGGCTTCCCATAAGCCCTGTCCTTGTACATGCACCTCCAGATCTCTTCCTTTTGCTGCTCTCCTGGGTGCCTGCCTGACAGTCCAGATTCTCCACATAAGAGAATGGGTCTTCAGGGGCTCGTCTGGAACTGGGATTCAGTGCAGCTTTGACCTATGAACCAGGAGGTCACATTTCAGGTTGATTCCTGGTCAGGGCATATGCCCAGGTTAGAGCCTGGATCCCCATTGTGGGGCATGCAGGAGGCAACCAATCAATGATTCTCATCATTTTCTGTTTCTGTTTCTTTCTCACTTTCCCTTCTGCACTGAAAATAAGAAATATATTTCAAAAAAGGAGAGCAGCTGACACTCTTCTAGGAAAAATTGGTGAAATAAAGTCATATGGTTCCAATATCACCACATCTTTAGATTTTATAAGATAGTTTGTCTTTGATGTCTCAAATTTTATTTTAAATATTCCAATTTTTAAATGCTGGCAATTGATTGGAATATTAAACAAAATATATAGAGTTGGCTGAATTTGGTCCATAGGATGACAGTTTGAAAATATCAACATTTTTTTTTAAATTGTGAATTCTTTATGAACCAAATTAATGCGGGATAGGAAGAAATCACTGCATCAGTATCAATCTCATTTCCCATTGAATATTTATCCAAAGTGTTCATAGTAAAACTGCATAATTAAGGAAATTTTAATGTTTAAACCAAAAAAAAAAATTCTGTTCTTAAGTAATTGAAATAGAATATATTTGATGAAAAATCCAAATATAATAAGTGCACATTGAAGCTTTAAAAATAATGGGGGTAGCCAAAACCAGTTTGGCTCAGTGGATAGAGCGTTGGCCTGCGGACGCTCTATCCACTGATTCCGGTTAAGGGCATGTACCTTATTATGGGCACATCCCCAGTAGGGGGTGTGCAGGAGGCAGCTGATTGATGACTCTCTCTCATCGATGTTTCTAACTCTCTATCCCTCTCACTTCCTCTCTGTAACAAATCAATAAAATATATTTAAAAAATAATGGGGGTAGATAGGCAATATTGATTTATAACCTTTAGAAGATATGACAACTTGGAAAATAAATGTATGCTGTTATTTTTTAACTTATAGAAAGCCATTTGAAAATATTGTACATGCTTAACAATATAAAGGCTCTATTTAAAGTAAAGCTCTAGCCGGGACCGGTTTGGCTCAATGGATAGAGCATCAGCTTGGGGACTGACGGGCCCCTGGTTTGATTCCGGACAAGGGCATGTACCTTGGTTGCGGGCATATCACCAGTGGAGGGTGTGCAAGAGGCAGCCGATCAATGACTCTTTCTCATTGATGTCTCTAACTCTTTATCTCTCTCCCTTCCTCTCTGTACAAAAATAAAAAAAAAAAAAAAAAAATAAATAAATAAATAAATAAATAATGTAAAGCTCTAGCTCAGCTGGCGTGGCTCAGTGGTAGAGCAATGACCTATGAACCAGGAGGTCATGGTTTGATTCCTGGTCAGGGCACATACCGGATTGCGGGCTCGATCCCCAGTGTGGGGCGTGCAGGAGGCAGCAGATCAATGATTCTCTCTCATCATTGATGTTTCTATCTCTCTCTCCTCCCTTTCTCTCTGAAATCAATAAATATATATTAAAAAAATAAAACTCTGACCTACTGATAGTTAACAAGAGAATCAATATTAGAATGTTGGCTACACACCAAGAGTCTCTTCTTTTCCTAGTCAAGTGCATATACCTAGGTTGCAAGTTGGATCCTCCACTCAGTCACAACGTGTGTGGGAGGCAACCAACCAATGTGTGTCTCACTCTCACATCAATGTTTCTCCCTCTTTGCCTTCTTTCCTTCCTCCCTCCCTCTTTCTCTAAAAACCAATGGAAAAATATCCTCAGGTGAGAATTAAAATAAATAAATGAATGAATAAATAAATAAATAAATAAATAAATAAATAAATAAGACTTTATGGAGGGCAGGAGAAAGATGGAAAGGAATATACAATTACTTCTTCAGAATTTGTTGGCCTTCATGAAACAACTGCATCACTATATCCCTGCAAGATGCTATGATTTCTGGATGTGGTTCAGCAGGTTACACATTATTTAAAAGTTTAAATAAAATCAATCAACAAACTTTGTAGTTTGTTCTCACTTCTGCCTTTCTTCAAATCAGAAGAATCTCTCCAATATACTTTAAATATACTTTGCATACACCGAGACCTGTTTGGCTCAATGGATAGAGCGTCGGCTTGGGGACTGAAAGGTCCCGGGTTCGATTCCGGTCAAGGGCATGTACCTTGGTTGCAGGCACATCCCCAGTAGGGGGTGTGCAAGAGGCAGCTGGTCGATGACTCTCTCTCTCATCGATGTTTCTAGCTCTCTATCTCTCTCCCTTCCTCTCTGTACAAAATCAATAAAAAAAATATATATATACTTTGCATATACTTTACATCACAGCTTTGAGTTTTGTAAAAAGAATAAGTAGCCAGTTACATTGATATTTACTTCAGTACTCCACTAACATTGCACTTATTTCAAATGATGGATTCATATTAAGTGATAAAGTATTGATAAAAGCTGGACAAATTTAATCTCTCTGTTCCTGAGTTTATCTCTAGAATGAGGAGAGCATTGTTATGAGAATTAAATAAACCATGCAACATACGTGGCACATAGAATTTAAAAATATTAGTTCTTGCCATTATTATAAAATAAAATGGTTACTCACTCTTTTGTTGAGACAAATAACAGGCCATAGGCTGCAACCCAGAGTACAACAACAGCAGAGACAACCACACAGGAGCCATTTCACATTGACTGGGAGAGCCTTTTTCAAACACGCATTCACACGGCCAATGCTGGTCTTAAATTCTTCTGGGGCCACCTACAACAAGAGCATAATCTTTAACAGTTTATGGGCAACTTTCCACTATTTATCTCTAAACCTAAAGAAAATGTTTGTCTATTACAAGTACTTTAAGGAAATACATGTTTAAATAGATTTCCTCTCTTGCCTGGCCAGCATGACTCAGTGGTTGAACATTGACATATGAACCAGGAGATCATGTTCCGTCCTGGTCAGGGCACATGCCTGGGTACAGGAGGCAGCCGATCAATGATTCTCTCTTATCATTAATGTTTCTATCTCTTTCCCTCTCCTTACCTTCCCCAATAAAAGCATAGTACATATTCCTGGATGACATTAGAAAGAAAAATATATATAATTTCATGTTTACAGAATTCATTTTGATGTTTAAAAATAACCTTCTCATATTACCAACAACAAAAAAATGACAACAGTAAAATTGGTGGTAAAGAATAACCATCAAGCAGTCATCTTACCAAATATTCTTAATATTAAGGCAATATTATTTGTAGTTCCCAGTCACTCTGACCAGAAGTTGAGTAAGATTAGAAGTATAATATGAACCTATATACTACTAGAGCAAATGAAATTAAAATTAGACTTTGGCAATATTCCTGAATTACTTTTATTTATTTACTAGAGACCTGGTAAATTAGTGCATTCACGGGGGAGAGGGTCCCTCAGCCCAGCCTGTGCCCTCTTCCAGTTGGACATTTTTAATGTTGCCTCAGTGGGAGAGGCTCTGGCCCCCGCAGCTGCGCTTCTGGCTGACCACCGGGGGGCAGCTCCTGTGTTGAGTGTCTGCTCCTTGGTGGTCAGTGTCTGTCACAGCAACTGGTTTCACAGTTCCGTCTATTTTCATATTAGCCTTTTATTATATATGATTAAAAAATATTATTACTGATTTTTAGAGAAAGAGGAAGGGAAAGAGAGATAGAAACATCAGTCAACTGCCTCCTGCATGCCACCTTCCTGGGGATCAAGCCAGTAACCTTTTGGTGTAGGAGTTGACACCTAACCACTGAACCACACTGGCCAAGCTTGGATTACTTTAAAAAAAAGACAGCTGTTGCCCAGCTGACGTGGCTCAGTGGTTGAGTGTCGATCTATGAACCAGGAGGTCATGGTTCAATTCCTGGTCAAGGTACAGGCCCAGCTGGCAGACTTGATCCCCAATGTGGGGCATGCAAGAGGCAGCCAATCAATGATTCTTTCTCTTCATTGATGTTTCTATCCCTTTCTCCCTCTTCCTTCCTCTCTGAAATAAATAAAAATGTATTAAAAAAAAAAGACAACTGTCAAACCTTTTCTCCCTGGCAAATTTGCAAAATAATTTTAACACTTGCCATTATTTCCTTTATTTATAAGCAAAAGCTACATTTACAAAAGACTATGAGGAGAATACACTCAAGATATGGTCTTAATATTCAGCATAAAACGGACTCATGATTGCTGTAAATTTTGAAAGTTGGAAAGTCATTATACAAATTTAGTATTTGTAACTACTACCTCCATTCCTGGAAGTGGCTGCTTGTGCTTCTTTGTAAACCATAACAAAGTCAGTTCAAAGGCATGAGATGCATAATTAGATTTATATTGAAAATTCTGCTTGGGGTTCAAAAGGACACTAAATATGGTTTGATTTCAGTGAAATCATGTTTCTGAATCACAAAATTATTCCCTTTGATTTAGAAAACTGGCAGGTTAATATCTATGAGGGAAAAACCCAGCACCTGGCTATGCAAGTAACACTTATGAAACTGTTAGGAAAAAGAAGCTGCTGTAAAATAAAACCCCAATTAGCATGTTTGTTATCAAAATATGGACCTTTACAATTCTAAGTAAAAATTAAACTAGAGGAATCAATGAATTAAATTTTTGTCTATTAATCAACACTAAAAATATATACATATTAGCAGATGCTAGAAAGATACATGATCACAGAACTCAGCACCATCATGATTAAAACATTAAGTAATTACATTAGCTTTATTAGAATCATTCATGTCATTTTTCTTCATAATATGTTAACTAACAACAGTTGTGAAAATTATGAGGCTCAAAACTGTATTAACATGGGGAAAGTAAAATAGTTTTGTTCTCCATCTATATGGTTAGCAATATGGTCTAAAGACAATTAATGAATAAAAAGAATTCCAATTAAATGACTAAATTTTCAAGGTAAATACAAAAATAAATTGAGAGAACCATGGATTATAACTGAAAATAGCAGGCTAAACTAGCAGGCTAAACACATTAGACAAAATAATCAAGATCTGAATTCTAGTAACTTACTGGCTATAACAAATCCTAGGCAAATCCATTTAATTTTTCTGAGTTTTAGTTTCCCAGCTATATAAAAGGAGAATAATAGTCTTGTTTTATAAGCTCACAGGAAATGGAAACTTTCTGACTGTAATGCTTTGAAAATGGAAGACTGTGATTCATATCTCTGGCTAGATTTGGAGATTTTGCATGAAGTTTCACTCAAACAGCTTTGCTGCACATTTAATTATAAACAAAAGGATAATCTGCTATATTTTGAAATCAAATTCGTCAGTACTTAAATTGGTCAGAGCAAAAATGATATACTTTTAATTTTATTTATAAACAATTATTATAAGAATTTACATTTATTTGAACCAAACTGATGGCATGTTAGGAAATAAGATGTTTTCAAAAAGATGTTCTTTTTAAAAACAAGGTACAAGGTGCTATACTAAGATTTACCTCTCAAACAGTGATACTCAACTTCTTTTTTTCCCCAGTGAACGCCCGAGAAACCAAATAATATGGTAGTAGAAGTTAAATAACAAAATATATTGATATATTTAGCTCTAATCTGTAATATAATATTACTATCTGTTCTCTAAAATTGTGTATCCAGAAACATGAACACATTTTTAAAAAGTGATGAATTTTGATTTAAACTCATGTAAATCATAAAGTTATTAAATTATTCTGTTATCAGCAATGTTGGCTCTCGGTTCTTGACTTTGGCAAAGAAAAAATTCAGAGCCAAGCTGAAACCGGTTTGGCTCAGTGGTAGAGCATCGGTCTGCAGACTGAAAGGTCCCGGGTTCGATTCCAGTCAGGGGCATGTACATTGGTTGCGGGCACATCCCTGGTAGGGGGTGTGCAAGAGGCAGCTGGTTGATGTTTCTCTCTCATCGACGTTTCTGGCTCTCTATCTCTCTCCCTTCCTCTCTGTAAAAATCGATAAAATATATTAAAAAAAAAAAAAAAAAAGAATTCAGCCTAGATCGGTTTGGCTCAATGGATAGAGCGTCGGCTTGGGGACTGAAGGGTCCTGGGTTCGATTCCGGTCAAGGGCATGTACCTTGTTTGCAGGCATATCCCCAGTAGGGGGTGTGCAAGAGGCAGCTGATCGATGACTCTCTCATTGATGTTTCTAACTCTCTATCCCTCTCTCTTCCTCTCTGTACAAAATCAATTAAAAAAAAAGAAAAAAGAATTGAGCCAAAAACTCTAGCACAAAAGAGTTTATTGAGTATACAAAGTGAAAGTACACTCGAAAGTACACTTGAAGAGAAGATTCAAGTGGGCTCCTCAGAGAGTTGCCTTGGCCTTTTAGAAAGAAAGTTGCAGAGATAGAAGAAACAAGCCAGTTGGGATACATGGACTCAGAAAACAAGTTATAGAGGCCCTTGGAGATAGATTCAGGTGGTTAGCCAGGGATAAGATACCACTGCCTGCGGCTCCCTTGGTTTATGTCTCATGGGGACCCTTACAGTTCAGGAGAAATAATGGGAAGATACACCCCCAAAGAAAGGGCAGGAGTGGGAGAAACCAAGGTGGCGGCATAGGATAGACACCTGAATGCAGCCTACCACAACAAATTTGAATTTAGAACTGGAAAACAGGGGAAACATGGCCCCGAAGCACCAGACGGCTGGCTGAGAGGAGGCTCTGCCATCTAAGAAGGAGAGAGAAGGCACGCTGAACCTCAGGAACTGTGAAGGTACGAGAACTGTGCGTGCGAAAAGGTGGCTGCCCGACTTTGCTGCTGGCTTGTTTGCGGAGCACGGAGAGGGCGAGCCGAGTTCACTGCTGGCTTACTCCCTGCTTGCAGAGAGGGCGGACAGCTAACGCACGGCTGGCTTTCTTGTTCGGGAGAAAACAGAACCACCCTATTGCTCTGATAGACGGCCCCACACAGGGAGACGCCAGACTGTCAGGCAGTGGGCAGAGATCTCTCAGAGGTGTGTGAAGCAATGGTCATTACTGAGGAACTCAGAAACCAGACCCTCGTAGGGAGGAGCTGAATAAAGCTTGTCTGCCCCACCCCGAGACTCCGCCCCACCCAAGAGGAGCACAGAAGCCCTTTCAGTGGCTAGCTTTCTCGTTTGCTGCCAATAGGACTCTCCTAGAAAAGGGCAGACAGGGATCCAAAGCTTGTCTGCCCCTAGACTAAAGAGGTGCGCTCGCCTGCAACTAATCTTGTGGGATTCATCAAGGCTTGTCTGTGCCACCCCGAGACTACGCCCCATCCAAGCGGAATACAGAAACCCTCCTAGCTGAGACACTTCTGATCCTTGTAGCCAAGTGGCTTGGAGATCAACGCTTCCCAGTGATACCAACAACAAGCAAGGCTTAACAACAAGACTGCACACACAGCCCACAAAGGGCTACACCAAGACTCTTCACCTCAGGTAACTGGGAGGCTGACCCACTGAATTATATAGGACACCTTAGCACACAAAGCCATCCTACCAACTCAGGGAAGCTATGAAAATGCCGAGACAAGGAAACAGATCACAAACAAAAGAAATGGAGGACAAGAAGCAACTGGATATAGAGTTCAAAACCACAGTTATAAGGTTTTTCAAGAATTTCCTAGAAAAGGCTGATAAAATAAATGAGATCTATGAGGATATGAAAAGGGATCAACTAGAAATAAAGAATACATTGTCTGAAATAAAAAATATTATACAGAGTCCTAAAAATAGAATGGAAGATTGTAAGAATCAAGTCAAAGATTTGGAACACAAAGAGCT